GAACGAGTTGTGTTCCTCACAAATATGATAAGTATACAGTAAAAACCATTTTATAACAACACACAACAATATCGTATTCACCACCACAGAATTTCTTAATTATTATGTGCCGACATCCCCGTTGTCAAACAATGTATATCACTATAATATACTGGCAGAATGGTCACAACTATCATGTCTCTGTGTCAACAAATCGACAGATCATCGTTATAAAAATATTATACCTAAAATTCGTTTGGATAGGTCACGCAACGGCGACACGCTCCGGTTGTAAGCCATATAATTTATATACGCGAACACAAGAGCACATTGACCGCGCACGCTGTATTGTTATTGTTGTATACAATAAACATATATTATGCTTGTATACGCTTTTAACTGGAATATTACCGATGAGAATATTGACATTCACGAGTTTTACTCTACGCGTAGTCTACCTATCGGCTCGCTATCTGTGTATAAACTACTGATTTCCATAAAAAAAAAATACAGTCACCGCAGCACTGCTGCTGTATAATAGAATGAATAGTATGTGTATGTAGTCATGTACGTGTGTATGGAAGAGGAGACGGAAGTTCGTATCGTTTGTTTTTCATATATAATATGTATGCATGTATTTCGTAAAGATAGTTCTGGAGAAAACGCACTTAGTTGGTGTTAATTCGTATTAGTGTAACAGAAATGACTGACAAATAAAATAACCTAAATACGTACTAACTTTTGTTTCAACCAACATTTTTAACTATCAAAAAACATATATGAAAATTAACAAAATAGTTATTATATATAGCTACTAGTTAGTCAATAGAATTCGCCACTTCATTTAATACATCATCATACATCACATTCTAATCGTGGGTAAATAGTAATATTCTAAATATTCTAAACGCATGCTATTAATATATATTTACATGTAATATGTGAGCGATTAATATTGCAGTAGTCAAATATCCTGTGAATCACGTAATATATTGTTATAATTAGTATCATATCATTATAATAAATTAAGATAAGAGAGAAAAATCCATTATTCGATACCACAGAATGTTTGTCATCATATATTTTGCAAGTGATTGTCTTATCAGTAAATAATCATTTTCTCAGTAAATTTATATAATGGTTTTAAAAATATTGTTTGTACATCACCAAAAGTAAATAATATCATAATTTTTTTAATGACAATATATATTAATAATTTCTCATTTCAGATTAATAGAAATTGAACATTGAACCAGAAGTCACTAGTTAATTTGTTTTAACATGTTATAAGCATCTACATTTCAATCAAACGGAGCACAGTGTACAAAAATACCTACTCCGCATCTTAAATGTTGCATAACTTCTTTTATCTCAACTTTCAAAAATGTCGTTCAATATTAAACAATGTAAAAAAAAACATTGTTTTCAAAAATATATCAATTTACCAAGAAAATAACAAAAAAAATTAACTTACATAATTACGACCTATACGGCTATACGAAAAATATCTAAAATGGCTAAGTGAAAATTAATTGCTGCTACCGAATCGATGTTCAAAAATGTTTAAAAGGTACTAGTTATAATACATTATGCTATACTAATTGCTTGTATCATTATTCATTCGTTAAATACACTGCTCGTCATTATTAACACTCGAAATCGGTTTACAAATCGTTTAAGATATTTTATTTTAAACGATTTCTAGCCACAACGATGGTTATATCGAGAGTTCAAACACTTTACATGATATAAATGTGTAGAGAAGCGAGTGTCGTAGAACAATAAAAATACCTACAACACGTTAGAGTACTTACACGTGTCATAAATCATCAGTATTAAAAATCGTATTGTAGTGCTGTAAAAAGCGATTCAAAATCAGAAATTGAAGAATTTGACTAGGACTGTCTAGGAGAGACAGTGACTTAAAATGTAGTGACAAAAAACCCATCAACTGAACAAGACTTAAAGCTCGCATACTTAAATGTTGGCATATTTGTAGTAAAAACTAATCAAATACGGTAATATTATATTGTCATTAAATTGTATACTGTTTCGTCATCAAAATTCACAACATCGAGCGAATACAACACGCGATTTCGTCGTAGTTATAAATATAATTCGACGTTTTCAAAATATATACCTTTTATATACAAGACTCTTATATCATATATTAATATACTTATATTTCTGTAACGTTAGGTAGGTACATAATATAAGTGTATACATATATTATATAGTCGATCGATGTAAATCTTAATCAAAAAGCCAATAAATAATTTTCTATTTATCGAAAAAGCCACTCACGGACGTATGATATAACATGCGTTCGTGTCTTATACTCTAATGCAGGAGCATAATGTATTTTGGGGATTGTCCAATTACGCTTTTTGTATTACATTATTATTATTATGACCTGCGAGTTCGTTTCGACCCATTTGGCCGAGTCTTTGAGCGGCCAATATCATCTGTGGCGATGTGCACGTCAAATAATAATTAAAAGTAATTATGACGGTTATTGCTTTATAGAAAGCGTTTGTAAGTACCGTTCAAAAAACAGTTTTTCCTTGATCCAGTGAAAAAAAACTTGTCGGATACTGGTATACGAATCTATTTTATAATATACAAGTTGTCACTGTTAAGCGTTCGTCATTATCTATTCGTTTTTTTCTATGTGTTATATTTTGTAGGAATAATGTACAATGAGTGTAAAAATGTTTGGTCACCTACTTAGGCATAATTCGTTTATGACAAATATAATTGAAGGACGAATAAATGGATACAAAGGTAGAGGCAGACCGAGGAAGGCATATATAGAATAAATGATAAAACAAGTTGACTGTAATCGATATATTATAGACATGAAAAGACTGGCTTTTAACAGAGATGAATGGCGAACCAGATTTGCAACGTCAAGGTGGCCTTTAGTAGAGAAAAGAAGAAGAAGAATGTACAATGTGTTTTTATATACGAAACACCTTCTACGGCGTATCCCGCTTCTCCCGGTTGATTTATAAGTTTATCAACCCCCCCCCCCCCCCAAAAAAAGAGTTTTAAACACTAACAATTTCTCAAAATGATGATTTATTTGTATGTTTTTTTTAATGACAATAATCATTTATATATTTTAAATTTCATTACCATAAAACAGATGAATAGGTACTGTTAAAAGTGTTCATTTTTACATAATATATTGAATCTATTATTTATACTAATAACATAATTGAAAGTTAAAATGAATGATGATAATTTAACATTCTGTAAGTTATCTGTCGTGAACTTTAAACTCTAATTTCAAATGTATGCTTTATATTTAATTAGCCTTAATATAGAGGTTTGAGCAAATTAAAAAACTATTCCTTCAATATCTAATGTTTTAAAATTAAAAAAAAAATATTTTTTTACAGGTTATAGAATTCAAATTACAGGTTATCATTGAAATAATTAAAAACCCAAACACCCCCATTAAAAAAAAATCGTAAGAAATTAAATTTCTTTGTCGTTCATAAAATGTAATAATCGCTTAGATAACTTCATAAAATAATTTTTTCTAACATAAAAAGAGGAGACAAAGATAATACAAATGTGGTTATTGTTAAAAATAATCATCATGTTTAGTATATAATATTTTACCTATATATTATACTGTTAGAAAATATAAACGAAGCAAATACATAAGTATAATCGTATCGATGGAGTCAGATGAAAAGAGTGAAATGAAAGATGGGTAAAATAACCATCACAATCTCGGGTGGTGGCGAATAAGAGATTTTTGAAAGTGAATTTCGACACCGAAAATAGCCGGGTCAATAATATATGTCGAACCTGCAGTATACAGTATTATATATTGATAAAAATAACAAGTACACAGTTTGTAACATCCGAAAAACGTTAACAATAATATAATAACGTTAACAACATATTATACTAACTATACGGCTAAGTATCTACTTAATATCTTAAAAACAGAAATGTCTAGACGCGACCCGCCAGACATGTTAAGACACGCATATATACGCACCTATACGCTCACTCTCAAAATTAAATGTTTACATCGCAGGCCCTGACGGCAACGAACAACGACCAGCTACGAAATAATAATAATATTTCAATGTTATTAAATCCTGTTTCGATCTATGCAAGCTACAGCTGCAGTATGTAAACGCGTTCTCATAGTTGCAGTTAATTAATTCAAAATAACTAAAGTTTACAGTTTTTATAAAGACAAACCGTCATGAGATATTTAAATGTTTTTATAGTTATAAAACATACAAATTAAAATATATAAAATACAAATTATTTAATACATAGGTAGGTATTAAAATTAAGTTAAAATTAAAATAAAATAAATTTAAAATAATAATGATAATATATACTATAAACTATAGATACAGTAATTGACAAATCATACCATGTAGTGTTCAGTCTATAGTACATTAGTACATTTGAGTTATGCAGACATAAGGACACATTTTACAGGAGTGTATAACAAGTATTTCGATTTAGCAGATGATAGATAGAATATATATTTATTTCTAGAATTAATTGGGCTTCGTTTAAAATGTAAGCACTTGACAGGTTCATGACAATCAGTAATATTGTTTAATAATTGAAATTTTAAATTTCAAATATAAATTTCAAACGTTTTTTCATAATTATTCTTAGTGCGCTTCAAATATTATTATAACCAGTATGATATTAGGCATTTTTACAATATAAAGTTAATAAAAGGTAAATAAAATATCTTTATAAGTTATTTTTAACTGTAATAAAATTTTGCTCTGAAAGGATATTATCTTGTTTAAATTAAAAATAAGCATAATCAAAATGAAATCGAACTAATAAGAAGTATAATATTTTAAGATCTGATTCATGGTTAAAATCTTCACATAATATGCGTTTTAAAAGTCCTGATTTCAAGTACGATTTCTTTCTAATATAATTAGCATAGCGATTATCTAATAGAAAGTTTTGAATCGAAGTAAATATACCGCAGCACATAAAATATAAACCAAAGTAATTACCTCAAATCGGTCGGTGTGACGATCGCGGCCGGGCTTAGGCCTACTATACAGCGTATCTGGGATGGACCAAGGATGAGGGACAAAACAATTTTGTCTTAAAATTTGAAATTCACAGTGTAGACAAAAATCTCGTAGCTCGTCGACCTGTTCGACCGTGGCGCGTTTTGCAGTACGATGTCGTAGAGGTATATTAAAATATTACATTACAATAATTATTATTATAAATTATTGTTGTAAATATTATTGTTTGTCGTTTGGCTTTAATATAAACGTACACGCGCGCGTCCGAACGACCGACTGACACGGTCGCACGCGGCGTGCAAGAGTATACACGCTCACGCACACACACGAAGACGCACGCACGAACACGGTTAGTGGTAGTATTGGTAGTGGTAATGGTGGTAGGCGGCGGTGGCGGTGGTAGAGGTGGCGGCGTGACGGATGACAAAGAGACAAAGACTGCGCGACGACGATGACGCTTAGCCGATCAGTTTTTTAAGCCGGTTCGCGGGCGTGACTCCCAACGCGGTGGCAACCGGACCAGCCGATTTATAGTCTCGAAAAAACTAGACATTTCAGAGCAGAGAACTTTATCCAAACTCGTATACAGAGTGAAACAGAAATAGCTGACAAATGTAAATAATTATACAAGTAACTACAAAGGTGGGAAAGTGCACGATAATAATTAACTCAAGTTAGAAGTTAATCGTTAACAAATAATAAATAATTTGCTAATTTTAAAGTTAATATGGAAAACAATATTAATTTGACTCAGTTTAAAACAAGTTATATCTAATCTACATTTTCAATTATTACGTGGTCTACTGCAGTATGACGGTTACCGTAGTGCTAAATTATATTTATTTAAGCCTAGTAGGTATACAGTAATTAATTTATAAAACCAAACACCCGAAACATCTAAAACATTTTTAATTTTAATTTTTAACTTGATAAACTATTTTTAAATTAACTAGAAAAGCTATGATATTTCAACAGTTATTTATATTAGATGAGTTATTATGTTAATGAAGAATTAAATTGAACTATTGAATGCCCATCATGTATAGGTAATAACTACAACTAGGATTTTAATGACCTAAAAATACACAAAAATGCACTAGAAAAAAAAACCAGACCTAAAAACTCTAAAAAAATGAACTTAAAAATGACCAAAAAATGTACTTAAATGAGTAAAAAAAATTTATTTTAAAAATAAATAATATTATTAATTATTAATTATGAACATAATAGACTTGTGAATGTAACCGCTTCCTCATATAATTATTCTGAAAAATCAATAAAAGCATAAATTAAAATAATTTAATGAAAAATATATCATATTTTTTTCCACCTGTACACATATTATTATTGCATTGCACAATTAAATGATTCTTAAGATTTTTAAACTGGAAGCTGCGACGGCGTGGCGGTCAGATAAAATGTTTTTATATGAAGAATTTCTTCACAGATGCTTATCTCAACTGATGTGTTGTTGAATTGTAAATTTCTTTTCGGAGGCAACTGTAACATTACAAACTTTACAAAAAAGCACCATACCGTCCGTAGGAAAAATATCTGCACCAAACACGCTCACAAAACTACGTAAACGGCTTCTTACTGTTGACTTAATTTTTGACATTTTGTACAGTTAAGATCGATAGAACCACATAGGTACGTGTTGAATTCACTACTAAAGCTACTATTGTATACCTAAATAGTTATGGGTTCGTTCGATATTTATTCTTATCGGATTAATCAACAATTAATTATACTCATTTTTCAATATCAATGGACTGGAGTAGGTAATTGCGTATAGGTACTAATTGGGATTACCTTTATAAAACATATTAAAAAAGCTTAAAATAAACAAAAATTAGTTTAAGTACACAAAATGAATGTAATTTTTGTAATATTACGTAAAAATGACCTTAAAAATACATTAAAATGCATTTAACACGAAAAATGCAAAATAAAAATTACATCATTTAAATTGTTATACTACGAAACAAATTTAGTTTTGGGTTAGAATTTTTTTTTTTTTTTAATTGATCCTGAGCCCGGCAACTGTGGCCATTAGCTATTAGTAGGTTCTGTAGGTTTTTTGTATTGATGGTTTGTAGGTTTTTGGAACGGTAGGGGGAACACGTGTGTGTTTGTTTTGGCAGAATTTCGAATGGGGCACCCGTAGGTTTCTGCCATGCCCCGGGGGTGGGGGATGGCAGCACTTGCTCTCCGGTCACCGCGACTTGTCCGGAGAAAAATGCCGCCCGGTGGCCGAGGATCGAACCGCGACCGGCTGCGTCGCAGCGGAAGAGTCAGACCACTCGGTCACCTCGTCCCCCTGGGTTAGAATTGTATAACACTTAAAGAAAAAAAAATGCAGTCACCAAAATCCTAGCTCTAGTAATAACTTTTGATCTAATAAATATACTTTTTTATTAACACAATACACTATAATAACAAACACATTATTAATATGTTTATCACTCTGAATATTATTGTATACAACATTTATTTCTCAATATACTTTGATACGTCTTGGTGTGCCTTTACAAAAATAATAACCTTGTGAAACCTAATTCGAAGTTATTCACCATTTGACGTGAGATAATAATATCAGTAACGCAGAGAAAAACAGTAACAATACAGTATTGCTCTGGACCGCAGTACAAATTTAAAAAACAATATTATCAAACAATGTGCACAACATAATCCAAATGAGACAATACACTCGAAACTCGTACATGATAAGCATTAAGTATATCTTAATAAAATGCGAAATATGACACTTTTTGGGGGGGGGGGAGGGTACTGATGAAATAAAAAAAATTCGATTCACCTATCTGTCGCTGGTTAACGTGCTTTCGTATGTAAACGTATATTATTATTTCCGTTTCACAGACAAAAGCGCAACGCTCTACTGCAGCTGCAGCAGCATGCGCCATCGCACAGATGCATGTGCATATATATTTCCGATGCTATATAACTGCGCAAAACTGACAAGAACACATTGTTTGAAACTTCGATATGTAAAATATCGTATGTATTTTATGCTGCTCAAATCGCAACATATACATTTATACAAATGTATAAGACTTGGTAGCGGTGTGTCAGTGTCCGTGAAAGGGTCAGTATCTAATCTATCATCGTAAATGATTGCACATTTGCACCCAATCTTTTTCTCCAGATTCAAAAATTAAAAATGTTGTGAAAAATCATGCACATTAAGATATATGTTGTCTATACATGGATAAAAAGTGTTTCATGAATATAATGCAATAATTTAAAACAATATATATATATATTTTAATATTTATTACAAACCTACTATAATAATATTTGGTTATTTAAAAACTTTGAATTTTTGACCATTTTAACTTACATAATGTGTACATATTAACTAATTAAAATAAAAGTTATAGTTTATACGTATTATATATGATATTTAATGTTTATAATTAAAACCCCCCTTAAGAAAACCCAAACTACGCCACTGAAGTTATTTATTATAAGTGAAAAATTTTCATTCTAATAATAGAAATGTAATACTTGATGCTCATAACTAAAAGTCACAACACATAATAATAAATCGTGTGAAAAACAATAGCTGTGATGATATTCAACAAATATTTTTTCAGCCGACAAATAACTAATTTTGTTTTTGTGAAATTCCCTAATGCCCACTAATTTAAATGATCTTTATATTAACCATAGAAAAATTATTTATGCCCCTCTGTATCATATTTTTCTTTGGATCTTTATATACATACGTATTGAAAGCATAATTTAATATAATATCATACCTATGTATTCATTTTTATTGCACTCAGAAATGTTGTAATTAATTGAAATAATACATTGATTAAAATGTAATTTTAATTAAAATTGATACATCGTAAGTACTTTATAAGCAATTATATAATACCATTCACTTAAAATGTCACTTTTAAATGACTAATGATAATGTAAAAATCAATAATTGAAGTTTAAACTTCTAATATACACATAATATATGCATGGTCCGTTGTATAACAAAAAAATACGATTCTAAACAATAAATAAATATAATTCACCTACCTTACATGCATATGTCTAGGCTCATTCGACTATGGTGAACTGCACTTGTGCACTCTCTGCTTGTATCCACCAACTGGAATATCCCTGTGCGCGTTTGACGGTAGCTAAAAGACGATCGACTGTTCAGTTCAAATGTTTAGCTCATAATATATAGATAACAAATTACTTGTGGAAATCGGGATATCAATTGAAAACAGACGATAAAAGTACAAATTTGGATGTCGCCCTTCCATTAGTCGTCGTACCGCCAATACAATCAATATTTTATAAAAAAAAATACATGAAAGAAATTTTTTTATATAGCACGAAAAAAATCTTGCAGCAAAATCCGTTTATGCCACGTATCCCGATTTATATAAAATTTAATTTATATGTGGTTAATGAAAATATTTTATGTACATGTTAACATTTACGATATTCTCATAGTTAAGTGATTCAATATTCTTTAGTATAATAATATTGGTATTTGTAATATTTAACACCATTTTTTGAACCTTGTATGATTTCTAAAATTCTTATATTACAGCTGTGATAATAATTATTAAATATACAATATTTGATATTACAATATAATTTATAAATTCAAGTATTAAATCGCGGCAGTTTATGAGAGTATAATTCTTATATTTGTATAATATTATGATACGATTTCAGTTTATTAGATTATTTACTATTACTATTTCAGAGTACGTATTATATCGTCCTGAGTGTAAGTATTACCATATGTTTGCTTATTGTTTCGTATAAACATGGTGATTCGCCTAGCACGCCACTCCTCTTTTTCTTCAATATTGCAGTATTCAAAATATACTCAATGACCATATCTTAAAATTCTCGGGATTTTTATAGTACCGAAGAAGTGTTCTGTGGAGTTACAAACTTATGTGTCTAAATTAAATTATAACTCTCCCCTCTTATGTAGTTTTCAGCTATTTAACTTTGAGTTGGTATAAAGAATAAAAGGTCCATAAAAATGGGTTCGGAAGTTAATATGGAGGCTATGATAGTTTGTATTATATTGAAATTTTAGTAATTATAATTAGTCCGTCAGTATTTCTTATATGTAAAAGTATAATAATTAAATACTAGATCCAATTTTACATATATTTTATATTTTTGTAAAATGTTCTTAATATAAACATTTTAATATCTGAGAAACATCTAGTTAAAAGTTTTTATCGCTGCAATTAGTATAATAAATTTCAAACTTTTTAAATATGGGCTTTAGTTTC